GACTGTCGCGCCGCGATGTGATTTGTTTTCGTCGTCACAACGCGACTTCACGTGAAGCTGGCTGCCAGCTGGCTCTATATAAGAAAAGCAGGCACCGTGCCTGGCCAGTGCTTAGGCGACTGTCAGACCGCGATTTGTGTTAGTTATCACAAGATGACCGTTCGCATTCCGTTTAAAACTTCTAGATCACCCTACTTGATTTAAAAAAAGAGGTGAAGGTTACTTTGATGACTTGCATTCGAAGTGGAGATCACTGTTAAGTCTTTAAAAGAATTCTTATGAAGTCATTAAATTTAATAGATGGGGATTATCTTGAGATTCATGAGACATTCTCACTGCTGTTTTGAGCTACAGCTTCCCCTACCTCAACGTCCATGTACGAATATGAACACACAATGTTATCGTAAGTAAATATGTAATATATATTCTAATATGCGCAGCATAATAAACATGTCTATAAGCAACTTATCCATTGTTTACTAATTTGTCATTGTCATAATTTCGTTTTAGAACGCGTCCATACGAAGTTCGCAAGAATTGTGCGGTCTAATGAAATCATCACAAGAATGCGAGTCATTTCTGTCCATTGTGCCGTTGGTCTTGATTTTCCTCTCACAATTCGTGTTAGGCGTGGGCAATACCTTGTATTATTCGCTGGGTCAAACGTATCTTGATGATAATACGAAAGAGAGAAATACACCGCTCATGTTAGCCGTGGCCATGGCACTTAGAATGACCGGACCGATCGTGGGTTTCTTTTTGGGTAAGCTTTAATTAACTAACGGTAACTGAATGTGACTAAAACATTTAGCTTCTCAAGACGTTGTTGGTTTGTGATTTTCCCATGAAATTTTTTCGATCTTTTCTATAATTTCAGGTTACATATCATTAAATATGTATATTGATCCCTTCAAAAAGCCATTAATCGACAATAAAGATCCACGCTGGTTGGGTGCTTGGTGGTTTGGTTGGATGATATTGGGCACTTTGATGGTGCTCTTCTCTGGTCTAATCGGTCTCTTTCCCAAACAATTGCCAAAAAAGAAATCGGAACACTACAACTCACACTTGCCACGGATGATGCGTTTAGAGCAGCTTAAGAAGGAAGATGGCATATCTTTGGGCAGCACGCTATCTCTTACAGCTGCGCTCGATGCAAACGCCGCAGCTGCGGTTGACACGGACGACTTTCCAAAACTTAAAGGTTTGCCGTAAATATAAATAAATAACTAATTTGATCATTAGTAAGCTTTGGTATACATTCTTGCAACAGATTTTCCGAAGGCGCTGATGCGTTTGTTACGCAACAAATTGCTTATATTTAACATTATATCGGGTGTATTCTATATTTTGGGCGCTGCTGGCTACATGACATTCTTGTCCAAATATATGGAGGTGCAGTTCCATAGAACCGCACAAACCGCCACAGTTGTGGTGGGACCAATATCGATAATTGGCATGGTGATTGGCCTCATTGGATCCGGCATTGTTATATCGAAAAAACATCCATCGCCGAGCAAAGTGCTAATGTGGAATGTTATAGTCGGATGTGTGTATATTTTGGGGCAAACGTCGTATATTTTTATGTATTGTGGTGATACGATATCTCTGCAGAATGGTGGCAAGTAGGTAAATTGATTTTCGATTTAGCTTTTTTCATTTATTTCTTGTTGCCTTTTCAGCTTTCACTTCACCAATCAATGTAATAAAAATTGTAGCTGCGATAATGTGGCGTATTCGCCGGTTTGTCACGAGGCCAGCGACACAACATTTTTCTCTGCGTGTCACGCGGGCTGTCAAACTTGGGACGCCAAAGAGAAGGTGAGTTTTTGAAGAATTTTGTTAATGGAAAACTGGAATAACAGGCACGGATAATACATTTATGTATCATATACTAAGTTATGTTATTGAGCAGCAGGTTAGGCGAAGCTAGGTTAAGAGGTTGACCTTAACAAGGATCTCAGTTGGACAGCTTAGAACACCGGGCCGTTGTGTTACCTAAAACTCCTATATAATAGATCTTAAGACACACACAAATCGACAAAGCCAAAGAGAGACGGCTAGTGTCAGCTTCGACGGGGTCTTCTGGATTGGCGAAGATAAGTCTACCGAGATGTTTCATCCTCAGTCTTGCGAAGATTATACAATGGAGAAGAAACTACTCAACTGTTTCCGACTCACCCAACTCCATACGACTTTGACAACTAGCCTCCGACAAGATGTTTAGCTTTCCGCACGGCTACAATTTTTAATACAAATTGTTAGAACTAAATTAAGATAATGTACTGTTGTTCTTGTAGCGTTACATTAGTTAGTTAGATTCCTGAACCAATTTCGAGGCAAACTGTCCGTCAAGATCCGTTCCGGTTACTTTAACCAAACTGTCGATAATGTATGTGCAATACTCTTTAAAAAATCTTTACTTACAGACATTTTCGAATTGCTCCTGCATTGATCTTTTGGACCCAATTACGAGTACTGTTGCATACACGTCTACCACTCCCAGTTTTCTAAGTGACTTAAGCACCAAACAGCAACAACCACTTACACAGAAAAGCTCAGAAATTATCAATGGTATATCGACAACAGCAACCCCGGTACCAATACCCACCACGATACTAAACAATGATGACATCACCGTACCGACAACAGCAAGCATATGGACAACAACACCAAAACTAACAACAACGACTGATGAACTGCTCACACTCGCCAGCCGTTCTGTGAGCACACTCTCCGATATACTCACACCAGGCGTTTGCTTAAAGGGCTGCTCTGTGGCCTTTTACAGTTTCACAATTGCATCGATGGTTGTCAATTGGTTCGGCTCTTCCGGGCGCATTGGCAATCTATTGGTGAACTTTCGCGCCGTTGCCACCAAGGACAAATCCTTCGCACAAGGTCTTTCCCTAATGATGATTAGCTTACTCGCACTTATACCGGGCCCCATTATATTTGGACGTATAATCGATTCCACTTGCCTTGTGTGGACAGAGACTTGTCATGGCAGAGGCAATTGTCAATTGTATGATCAGACGAAATTCCGATACTATGTAAACATATTAGCGTTGTGTAAGTATGAAAGTTTGAGGTATACTTACGTTAGGGTGTCCGTTATTTTCCAAAATGATTTTTATACCCTGAACGGAGTATATTAAGTTTGCTACGGAGTTTGTAATACCTAGAAGGAAATGCATATATATAAATAATCAGCTATGTTAATTTAACCGTGCCGGCCTGACCGCCTGTACATCCGCAAAGTAGTCTCTCAGTTTTTGAGATATCGTTTTAAAATTTTTCTCATCAGAAAGCTCCTGATTCTGATTTTTCAGAACCGCCGATATCGGACATTTATAATCGGAATAAAGTTTTTGCATGAAAACTTTTTCATTTAAAAATATATCTTCATGTAATTTTGCATAGACTTGCATATGTATTTATATTGGACGGCTATAGTCGCCTTCAAACGGATGTTCTTAGGCTACCTAGAGAATACTTGGTCAAAGACCGAAAGTCGTGAGCTGCTTGAGCATTATGTAAAAGAATCGTTTCCGACCACTCCCAAGTGAATGGCGATCAGAGAACTTTCCTAACTTGCGTGAACTTTTACACATGACTCCAGCCTCGAAAATTAACGTTGACATTTTTTATTGTTTTATTTTTTTTTTTTGTTTTTTTTTTTGCAAACTTTAGTTTTTACTCTAAAACAAGGACCCAATGCAAACCAGTTCCTTATTTTCAATTTAATCTGGCTTAAAAAATTTTCTCATATATTTAACGTAGAATTATTTGATCTCGAAAAAGTCTAATTCGAAAATAAGAGACACCCTAACCTACATATGTATGTTTATATGTTCTTTGTGTGACAAAAATGTTTTATTGCAGCGCTTACGTCGATCGGTGTGATCTTCGACATTTTAGTTTGGTATCATGGCAGGCATCTTGATTTATATGGAGAAAGGGAGGAGCAGAAGCTCCAAGAAAGGCGCCAGAGAGATAAACCAATCACACCGCTTTTAGCACATAGCTCATAATATTATTTAATGCCACCATTATGCCTTGTATATGTATATCTGAAGCATTTTGCATTGTAAATGTACTTTTGAAAAGTTCTTAAGAATTTTTACAAAACCTGGAGTTTATACAAATATGTATATATGATAAAATTTGTACATTTGTATGTATGGAATTGAAGAATGCACATGTAGCAAGTATACAAGTATATTATAATTTATTTTCCTCAGTGTGTAAAATTATATTCCCTAATTTAATTTAATTGAAAAATATGAAGAATAATTATAAAAATGAATTTTTATAATTTTAAGTTGATAAAATCGTTGTTTAAAATTTAAAAAAAAAAAATATGTATACGTAAAAAACGAAAATATAATTATAAAAATGTCCCTAGCGATAAAAATTCATTTACTTACGAATTTTTGTAGACAAATTTATAAAATTTAAGGGTTAATGTATATAGTTTGAGAGCATTTTGATATTGAATTGAAAAACGTACGTGCTTCATGGAAAAATTTTGAATTTTATTAATCAGTTATAATTGCAAATAAAGTTGCATTTTAATGCAAACTATACTAAGTCTGAAAAAATATTAGCACCTCGTTATTAAGTGCAGTTTTAGTTATATCAATAATTTTTTCACATACAAATTAAATATTTTACTCAAACCTTTTATTAATTTAATGGTAGGTAGGTAGATTTTGTGAAATTTTCAGAGGAAAATATTCCATACAACGTCATTTCGACATCCTCGGATAAAAGTAACGCCCTTTGCCGAATGAAACGCCACCAGAAGGGCCTCCTCCTCCCTCCTCGCTAACAGAAGAATGATCAGCGGAGCGCATAGGCGGCAATGAACCTCGAGTCAAAGAATAAGATATGGCAATAAGCACAGAGGACAAAAAGTCCCCGAACTAAGACGTCCTGACGCAAGAAACGATACAAGAAAACAGAAAGTGAAAAGGGTATGAGCACAGAATCTGGCGTGGTCCAAGAGGAAAAATCTGATCAGAAAACAGAAGGAAATACTAAGCGCTTAGCGAATGACACTAAATGTACGCCGAAGAGACCAAGCCCAGCATCTCCCATTAAACATCTGGAACGGTCAACGGTTCCGAAGCCAAAAGCAATAAGACCTGTCAGTGGCATGAGTTTCTGTCCGAAACAGCTGGTTAAGATCCACAGCTAACTAAAATAATAACTCACATAGCCGGTGGGTGAACCGTAAGAACCGAAAACAACGCCAGAGTCCCGGCGATAACTCCACTCAAGACACATTTTTCAGGATCCACAACAAGTAGATCAAACAGTCACAGTGAAGAACAAATCATAACAACCAATTCATGGACGCTAGCTAAAAAAAGATAATTAGCTACAGAATTGTACATTGGGAAATAAACTCATTTGAGAAATGCAAATCGCCAGGAATAGATAGAATATGGCCAGCTATCCTACGTAATGGAGAACAACAGCTGATGTCCGTCATAGTGCACACCATCTGGTCTGTATAGACCTACATGGAGCAGAGCCCAGTCAAGTTCATCCCCAAACTATGAAAAAGGGACCACACTACTGCCAAGTCCTTCAGACCAAAAACTTTAACATCCTTCAGCCTTAAGGGTATGGAAAAGTTTATTGATAACCATATAAGAACAACAACTCTAAGAGATACAGCTCTACAACATGCAAATAGAGAAAGTAGATCAACGGCTGTAAAAACGTTTTTTTCCTTTGAAACGTTGTTTTCAGTGTCTTTGAAAAAAGTTTCTTCGAAAGGGCTGGACCGATTGGCCTGAAATTTTCACAGCACCTTCTTAGATATATTTGTCAGGTAATGAGCGAAGGATAACATTTTTTGCAATCATTTCGATTTTTTAAGCTAATCTGAAGTGTAAATTTCTTTAAGAAAAAGTGGCTTATGCCAATAGAGTAGAACCACCAAAATGATTATCTCATACACTGTCTCAAAATGCCGTAAGAATCATAATCAAACGTATTTCCTCTTTTATTTTTGAAAAAATTTACTTTTTTATGTTTAGCTTTTTTATGCTTTATTGACATTTCACCGACATTTAATATGCGTATGTCTTTCATCTCTTTTAGCTGAAGTGTTCATGTTTGTTTTTCTTTTTTTTTCATTGCGTTGATGGTTTTGTAAATATGGTCCAATTATCGTTTAGCGCGTTGCAATGCTTGTGAAGTTAGCTTGCGGTCATTTTCATTTACTGAAGGGAACTGCCCTAATTTATTTATTTTTACTTTAAAATTCTATCGATTTATATATGTAAAAAAAAATCATTTCAAAATTACTTGTTGCTTACTTTTAGCAGTAGTTTTTTTTTTTTTTTTTTGTAATTTTCCTTTGCGTGTTACTTAACATTTACGTTTTCACTGAACTTATTTCAACCTTAACGAAATAATAAAATCAGTTATTTTATATAAGTTTTTGTTTTCATATTTAATTATAGCAATAATATAATTATATATTTACGTTTACTTTTCATATTCTTGTGTTCGTTCGTTTTATAATGTTATAAGGTTTGTGTATTGTTATTTGTTATGTACTCCTTCTTTTCATACGCTACTCTGCCCAACTTCTGTGTGTAGTTTTTAGTTAATGTGAAATGGCGTTAATGATTTACGTTTAACGAGTACGATCCTGCTCATTTATCATATATTTAGTTTCTTATATAGAAGCAAGGCGTTTAGATGAATTTAGCTGTGCTCAATTTATTCGATCACCTTCAATACCTTGCCAATAGCAATAGTTTTGTCTGTAAACGGTCAAAACAAAAAAAAAAAAAAAAAAGATTAATAAAAAAATATATTAAATATATAGGTATAAATATAATTTGCAATTTGGTGGTACTTACTTTCGTCGCGAAGTGTAAATCTACCCATCTGTGGGAATAGTTTAAATTGTTCAAGGCAAATCATTCCGGAACATTCTATACGCATAATTGCCACTTGATCTTGCTTAACAAATCTTGGACGTGTTTTTGATTTTTCTCCGGTCTTTTTGTCAACCAAACAAATTAAGGCCTACAAAAAATTCAAAGTTCGTAAAAGCTATTAAACTTTTGTGAGAATAAACTTACTTTCACTGTAATCTCCTCTGCCGCGCAGTGAATATGCATAACCGCCGAGTAACCAGCGCATATAATGGATTTGTGCTCCAAAATAACGACTTGCGCGTCGAAAACTTTGCCAGTTTTTATTGGGTTGGTAGCGTCGCATAGAACAAATCCGGGTGAAACATCTTCCTCTTCAATTCCCTGTAAAAAGATATGATTATTATTTATTTATATTTATAAATTTATAAACAATACGCATATTATATAAATTTATTATTAATATTTATATTTATATATTTAGAATTAATGTTGCATTACATAAAAATATTTTTTGATATTTTTAGAATCGAAAAAATATAATAAGCAGACTTTATAATTTTACACACCTTCAGTTTGACTTTGATATTCTCGCCAGGACCCACAGAAGTAACTTCTTCATCATCAGAGAATAGCTGATCCACTGAAACTTGTGTCTAAAAAAACAAAAAGAAAGAAATTAATAATTTAATTTTTTGTGCTTATATTTTTTAGCAAATATTTTACTTACCCGGTTTGGCATTACTAATAGGTTTTGCCCTTTTCGCGCAGTGCCTGATTCTACTTTTCCCATCACCACTGTACCCATATCTTTATATTTGTCAACAATAGGCATTATGAATGGGCCATCAGCGTTACGATTGAGCGAAGGCAACTGATCAATGAATGGTATGAACGCCGGCCCTCTGTACCAGGGGCAAATATCGGCTGGTACCGGATCACGTAAACCAGCTCCGCCCAAACCAGAGCAAGGCATAAAGGTTAAATCCTTTGAAGGGTTGAAACCCAATTTTTTGAGGTATGGTAGAATCTTGTCCCTACATTCGTTGTAACGTATTTCATCCCAATTTACAGTCGGATCATCCATTTTATTTACCAAAACCACTAAATGCTTAACACCAGCGGTCTTAGCCAACATAGCGTGTTCACGTGTTTGTCCTCCACGATCAAAACCAGTTTCGAATTCACCTTTTCGAGCTGAGATAACCAAAACAGCTAAATCAGCTTGAGCCGCACCACCAATCATATTGGGTACAAAACTCTTATGCCCTGGTGCATCTAATATAGTAAAATGTTTGCGTTCTGTCTCAAAGAATGCTCTGCCCACTTCTACAGTTTTTCCCTTGTCACGTTCTTCCTGATTTGTATCCAAAGCCCACGAAAGATACCAGCTTTCGCGCGACTTTTCTCGTGCCTCACGCTCGTACTTTTCTAGTGTACGTTTGTCAACCATACCTGTGAGGTACATTATTTGACCACCAATTGTTGATTTTCCAGCATCTAAAATAAATAATGCGGTGATAAATAAAAAAGTTTAATTTGTACAAATTTCAAGTAACTAAACTGCCTCAATACATACCAACATGTCCAATGAAAACAACATTAATATGCTCTTTTTTACTACGGGACTCCTCAACCTTCGGTGTTTTCTTTTTTGAAACTTTAGGCGTAGTATCATTTTCAACATCTTCAATAGCTTCGTCAGGTTCTTCATCGTCCGGTGTTATTATAGGATCATCCTCAACGTCCCAACTGTCGGCTGGGTCATTTTCTGTCAAAATTGAACATTATTTATAATTTTTTAAATAAACAGCTCAATATATTATTTTTTCTAGATCTACGTGTTCAATTATTTAGCTCGTAGTTTGATAGATGCACAGCCGATCAAAAATGTGTTTTACATTGCATTTTTCTAGCTTACTTCTTATCATACGTGGCATTTTTATATATTTAAAAAAACTAACTACAATATGTTTTATGTTATTGTGAGTGCAACAATAAAATACAGATTTAAGTAAACTATTTTATTTACGAAATAAAATTGAACAAATATAAAATCAAATTAAATGTGGCACCGGGCCACATCCAACTCTCCGCTGACTAACAGCCGTACGCAACTTCGAGTTGCTAACAGCTAGACAACCACCATTAACAAGTTAGAAGCGGTTGAAACCACAAACAGCAGATAAGCGAATTTGGTCAAAAAAGAAAAGTAAAAATTAGTATGTACAGGTACAATGATTAACAAGTTTTTTT